CAATATGCGTTTTTGCTGGCTGTAGCAGCTGCTATAGCGCTGCACAGCAAAAACGCATAAAAATCAGCCTTTGAAAAAATTCGTGGCTACATCACACGTCTCACAAGTTAAAGGGCTCAGACAAATCCAGTGCATTAAATATGCGTGCAGTAAGAGTGGCCAGATTTGAAGATGCACTGGGGCCTCCCGTAATCAGCTGATTTTTTGTCCCTGTTTTAGACGAGCTTAGTAACAAATGTCAGCAACGGCCGGGAATTAAACAATTCCGACAAACCAACAAATGTCACCATCACGAACCACTAAACAAATTTTTCTGGGTGCACAAACGAGCCTGTAGGAATGTTATCTGATGCAAAAATAAGACCAAAAATTAGCCACCTGATGGCATCCGGAAAACAGCTGATTTTTTGATGTGCGTGATATTGCAGAATGGCAGCTTGGTGCAGTTGGTTGTAAAATGTCAACGTGGATCAACTCGACCACGTCATGTGCATCGATCTTCACGCTTGTTGCTGTCACAGCTGACCGCTATTTTGCCATTTGCCATACGATGAAATATGCGGTCTGGGACTCGCGGTGGACGCTGTACGTTATAGCGGCAGTTTGGATGCTCAGTGGCATGCTTGCCGCACCCACACTTGCTGTTTATGACGAGGTTTTTATGCGTTTTTGCATCACTGATGCAGTAAAAACGCATCAAGGCGAGAGCGCGATTGTTTGTTGCTGACAGCATACTGAAGCTCCAGAACTACAAAAACTCGAAAGATGAAGTTCTGCGGGTAGTATTTCCAATCATGTGCGAGGCAGAAAATCTGTGTCAAACTTTCAGAATACCCAATGAACCGAATATTATTCCCAGGTCCAAATTCGGGCAATATTTTACATATTAATAATCAAAAAAGGTTATAACCTTTTGAAATTTTGAGAACAAACCGGCAGTAAAAAAGACCGAAAAACAGGGGGCTTAAATTTCCTACGGTCCCCTTACTTATTATCTTATGTTCAGATTAGGGCTAACTGTATAAACTGGGAACAAACAATGCTGTGACATCGAGACTACAAAAGTTTTATAACCTCGCGGTATAAGTTATTATTTTGGTATTAGATACGAAGATCACTGTATTACAATAAGTGAGTTTTGGGACAAATTTGGGCTAATTCTAAAAATTCGGGGTGGAGCAAGACAGAAGCTTGAAATTTCAGGCCCAGTTAGCCTTGCAGCGTTGCGTGTGTGACCGAATCTTGTTTTGCGACTCCTACCCAAAACTAGGCTAAAATCATAAATTCAGATGGAGAGCACTGCGAGCTCAAAATTTTGGATTTGGCTGACACAAATTTCAAATTGAATGGCATTAAACCACAGCTTAGACCTTTTTGTGCCCTATCCTGTGGCCATACATTCATACACAGACGAGGATTATAAATGTTGAGCGAACAGTTCAAAAATACGAAATTATCTTACCGATTCACAGAACGAATACTGCACTAAAATCAGTTCTACATGTGCTGCCCAGTCACTCACTGTGAACTCACAAATCATATCGCAAAAACGTTAACCACGCAGGTCCACTAATTTGTAACGTCGTTCACTGCCTCTGCATGCCAAATTTAAATGTGTCAGACGTTGCTTCAAATACCTCTCATGGAATTACGCCAGCAGCAACTGCCTGACTATCAAAACGTGAATATGCAACTAAAGAGTTAAAACAAGTTAGTGTGCTTGTGCAGGCTTTCATGGGTGAACGAAGGAAACTGTTAATAGGGACACGAGTGCAGGTGA